GTTTATAATCACTTTGACATGTAATACGTTTACCTTAAATGTACAGGTGGAATTTTTTACATCCGAAAAGGATAGCGAACAATTCCTTTGTGATTTGGGCATAATTGACCTCAGTAGGGGTAAGTGACTTTGATGCAAAACCAACTAGTTTACCCTCCTGTATGAGTACTGAAGATAAACCATACTTGAACGAGTCGACTTGAAGAGTAATTTCCTTATTTGGGTCAAAATAAGAGAGTATTGGACCAGGGCTTTATGTAATAATGCTTTAACCTGTTGTAGGGCATTTTCTTGGAGTGCATTCCAGCTAAAATCTACATCTTTAGAAAGAAGCTGTCTCATGGGTGCAGTAATTTCTGAGAGTTTGGGCGCAAATCTATGTAAGTATGTGACCATGCCTAGCACTGTTTGCAATTCCTGTTTAGAATTAGGAGATGGCATCTCTGCTATGGCCTTGACCTTTGCAGGGTCTATTTTTAAACCTTGATCAGTAATTAAGTGGCCAAAGAAAGGTGACTCTGTTTTCCCTATTTCCGTTTTGTCGGGATTGAATTTGATACCTATTAATTGGCATCTCTTCAAGAGTTTGTCCAGATTTTGGTCATGTTCTGCCCTATCTTTGCCGTAAACAACAATGTCGTCAACAATTGTTCTTACTCCTGGCAAATTTTCGAGACACTATTCCATTTTTGCAAAACTTGCATCATTTGCATTCTTTAGGCCATATGGGAGTCTTAGGAATCTGTATCTTGCAAAACAACTGTTAAAAGTTGTCAAGTAAGATGATTTTTCTGTTAGTTGGATAGACCATTAACCACTACATGCATCTTATTTTGAAAACACAGTAGCATTTGACAAGTCGGTCAATATGTCGTCAATTGTCCTATTAGGGTAATGAGGTCTTTTGATGGCATTGCTTAGATCTTTCGGATCTAAGCATAACCGTAAAGAGCCATTAAGTTTTTCTACTACAACTAGACTATTTACCCAGTCTGTCGGTTCTGTGACTGTCTAAATAATTCCTAAGCTTTCCATTCTGTCAAGCTCTATTTTAAGTTTGTCACGAATGGCAATAGGAACTCTGCGTGGAAGGTGAACTACTGGTGTGACATTGTCACGCAACTGTATTTCAAGTTCCCCTGGCAATTTTCCTATTCCGTTGAAAACATCTGAGTATGTATTGAGCACTTGCTCCTTTGTGATAGGCACTGTGCACGTATTAGCCAGAACTAACTTAATTAAGTTTAACTTAAGGCATGTTTGAAGACCTAGATTGGGGCTTGAATGTGTATCTACTATGTAAAACTCTTCTGTAGAGATTTGACCTTTATATGTACAAGGAAGATTGATACAGCCATCGACTTTGAGAGGCTGACCATTGTATACGGTTTATTGCTTTTGTGTTGGAAGCACGTGACCTAATTTGCCTAATGATCTGAATATTGACCTTGGGAGAACATTGACCTGAGCTCCTGTATCAATTTTCATATTAAGTTCTGTTGAGCAGACTTTGACCGTATCAAATGCTTGATTTGTTGTGCTGTCATGCTCAACTGTATAGACATACATGTCATTATCATGACGGGGTAGGGAACAATCTATTCATTCTACTGTGCATCGGTCGAATGTTCCACTATCGCTCACTTAACGGGAGTGTATTCAGTAAGCTGCGAAGGGAGCGTAGGAACAATCAAGATCATGTGTGTTTAAATGTGTTACCTCATTAACATTTTTGCTTCCTAAATCCTGTTTTTTTTCCTACACACTTTTGCGAAATGATTAAACTTTGTACAGTACAAACACTTTTGACCTTTGGCTGGGCATGTATCACGTTTTAAATGGTAAGTCCCAAAGTGATTGGTTCTAATGTTGTGTTTGCTGCCATCTGTCTTCCTGCTTTGCGTCCAAAACTGCTTAAATGGTGCTGCTGCTGAGGATTTCCTGACTGCATTGATGGATTGGGCTTGGACGCTTATATCCCTTAGCTGTGTCTGACTTAATGCATACGTGCGAGACAAGTCAATACATTTTTCAAGTGTCAAGTTTGATCCTTCATTGATGAGTTTCTCTCTTATCTGGTAGACGTACACCAAATACAATGTGACCACGTATCATCTCGCTTTGTATCTCTTCTGCGTAGCCACAGTCCTTTATAAGTAATTTTAAATCTGTGTTGAACTCTTCAAAGGTCTGTCCTTCAGATTGTATACACGATTTAAATTAATACCTTGAGTAAATGTGATTCACTTTGGGTGCGCAATATGTCTCGAAACCTTGATAATATGTCTGAAGCAGTTTTCTTTCTTCAGCTGTAACTGTCCAGGTTGAAAATATTTGGCGACCCTTCTCACCAACCCAGAGCATTTTTAAGTAATTTCACTTTGCCTCCTCTGTTTTCTTCTCTAGTGGCCCTCCAAACATAAAGTCACAATGTTCTTTAAACTTCTTAAATGCAGTTGGCAAGTCTCTAGCTTCCCAGTCCATTCTTGGATTTGTTGCTGAATCCATCTTTTTACAATGGTTATAAATCCAGAATACGTTTAATTTCTGTTATTTTAATTATTATTATAAATAATTAAATCCCACTTCTGACACTATGTTTTATATTTTAGGTGTGGATGCAGAGAATACGAGATGTTAATATGAGCTTATTTCTAAGACTGTAGACAATAGGTCAGTACACTAAGCAGGCGGAGCCGAACACTCTAGTTTAAAGGTACTGCATGCAATATATATTTAATGTAGAATTAAATACGAAACAATATATATTTAATGTAGAATTAAATATGAAACAGCATTATTCTTGGATTTACCTCATTTACTGTAAAGTCATAACCATAAAACTGTTCTCAAAATATAAAAGATGTGAACTTTGCAAAACATGTTTCAAAAGAGAGTCGTCACGTTATGGATAACATAGGAGAAACAAAAACGAAACGTAAAAGCTAACTTTGTACTAGACAGACGGAAGTACATGTACGAGAAGAGGTGAGACTGGGGGATGTAGTAAAATATGGCGGGAGAAATGGAATCGAAGTTTATTTGGACGACATACCGCAATGCGAGGCGCAGGAGTTTGTAATGGAGTTGATGGTTTATAGAAACTATAATGTTATCCGTGAAAAGAAAACGGTAAACCTAAGACAGAAACGGTTGTTTGTTAAGAACTACCATCCGGCACACTGCTGCTCTATGAGTGATCGTGTACAGCGTGCTTGTGAAATGAGAATACAAAGTGCAACTATTGGCTTAAAGAAACCTTTTTTGAAAGCTGTATTCTGAAAAACAATTATAATGATTGATTTGATTTGATTTGAAAGAAACCAAAAAATTTGAATATTTATTTTGTACACTTAACCGATTTTTCTTTACGATAAATGGCAACCACAAATCATGTTCTCTAAATAATTCAAAGAACACATTATAAGTACATGTAAGTCATTTTTTATACCTTGTATGTTGTATTCATAGCTTGATACTTTGACTGGAATTTTTATTTTTGCAGCCTTTTGTGTACAATATTACGAAAGCCTAATAGTGTCAAATAAAATAAAAAATTAAAATACAAAGGCGTTATAACGCGAAGAAAGGTGTTATAACGCGAATCAAAAGGCGTGATAACGCGAATAAAGGCGTAGCAACGCGAATAAAGGCGTTATAACGCGAATCAAAAGGTGTAATAACGCGAACAAAGGCGTAGCAACGCGAATAAAGGCGTTATAACGCGAATCAAAAGGCGTAATAACGCAAATAAAGGCGTTATAACGCAAATCAAAATGCGTAATAACGCGAATAAAGGCGTGATAACGCGAATCAAAAGCCGTAATAACGCGAATAAAGGCGTAGTTACGCAAACCAAAAGGCGTAATAACGCAAATTAAAACGCATTATAATGCCAATTTAATACCATATTTATACTAATCAAATTGCCTAATAACGCTAGAAAGGAAGACCAATATTGATCTGAATTTATTGCTCAAGATATAAACTCGTATAGAATAATACAATATACATTTACAATAACTATCATTCAATTTGCACAGTAATAATGCAAACTATTTGTCATAAACTAACGAAGACTCTTTAATATTTGCCAATATAAGATGACTTGGTGACTTATAGGCCATAAAGTATTTCCTCCTTCAAATAACAATCCCCCTATTGTGGGCCAAATGAAACTTAAGTTATGCTCCGGAAACCAAATTGCTAACGGACGGACGGACAGACGGACGGACGGACGGACGCCAGGGGGTATAACATAATATGCCCGAAATTCTTTCGAGCATATAATAAAACGCACATCTAGATCAATTCATTTAAATCAACATTGTTCTTTCTTCCATACATTACTAGGCCACTATTTGAAATTTATATGGTATTAAATTAGCGTTATAACGCCTTTTGTTTTGCGTTATTTCGCCTTTTGGTTCGCGTTATTACGCCTTTTGATTCGCGTTATAACGCCTTTATTCGCGTTATAACGCCTTTTGATTCGCGTAATTACGCCTATTGTTTTGCGTTATTACGCGAAAAAATGTGTTATTTCGCCTTTCAATTCGCATAATAACGCCTTTATTAGCGTTATTACGCCTTTCAATTCGCGTTATAACGCCTTTATTCGCGTTATAACGCGTTTGATTCGCGTAATTACGCCTATTGTTTCGCGTTATTACGCGAATAAAGGCGTTATTACGCCTTTCAATTCGCGTTATAACGCCTTTCAATTCGCGTTATTACGCCTTTCAATTCACGTTATAACGCCTTTATTCGCGTTATTACGCCTTTTAATTCGCGTTATAACGCCTTTCAATTCGTGTTTTAACGCCTTAATTTGCGTTATAACGCGAAAAGTAAATATACCAACTCTAAAAATAAGAAGAATGAGGGCTATGGCCATTGAAACTTTTAAAATTTTTCATGATATGTCTCCTGCTGTTCTGTCTGACCTTATTGTCAAGAATACATCTGGTATAAATATTAAATATTCAAATATTTTGCAGATCCCGCAAGTAAGAACTACAACTACTGGTAAAAAATCTTTCAGGTATGCTGCACCTGCTTTATGGAATACTCTGCCTGACAATTTTGAAAATGTTCAAAATTTAAAAATGTAAATGTATTGCTTGCAGCTAACTTCTATTTATTTATTTATTTACTCCACTTTTATTTATTTTTCTGGGTATGAACATTTTTTTGGTCTCATTTATTATTTAGTTTCTTCAGTTTTTGCTTTAAATGTGTTTTTGCTTTTCTTCCTTGCATGTTTCCTGCTTATGGTAATATTATCATTTAGTTTCTAGATAGGATGTTGCTTTATTTGTGATCTTTTTTTTTTTTTTTTTTTTTTTTTTGCTTATCTTTCCAGCATGACTCAAGCTAGTTGTTAAATGAGTTCAACTGTTGACTTACATGTATGATACCTTCTGTCTTTGTGTAGTCTGATAACCTATAGTCTTTCATATTTAAATTATATATAAAAAATGTATGTTTATTTATTTTCTTTTTTAAATTTTTATTTATTTATTTATTCATTTAACTATTCATTAAATTTTTAATTGTTTAATTGGTACATTATTGAATTTTAAGTAAAATTTTTAGATACTAGACATTGTAAGCATAGTTTAAAATACAAGCTAATGATGTAGAATTGGGTAAACTATCATTTAGTTTTTTAGCATCTGATTCATTTTTATAAAAATATCCAAAAAGGTCTATTTTATGTATGTGATGTATATATATCATGTCTAATCATTTTTTATTGTAGCTGTTTTATCTTTGTTGAACTTATACTTTATGTTATAAACAGTCAGTTATAAAAGCCCCTAGAGCTTATGTTGTACTGTTGAAAACTTGCCGACTTGAAGGAAAAAAACTTATCTTATCTTATCTTATCTTTTCTTATCTTATAATTGTAACTTAACAGAAACACTTTCAACCTTGTAAGCATACCTATCAATAATTAAGATATACTTTCACCCTAATGTGATTTACTTATACCTTACTTTTTTTCAAAATCTTGTTACCTATAGCCTATTACCCAAGGCGTAATTGGGAACGACATTCACATAATTAGAAAATACTACAGGTTATTAAGTAATTATACAGGACATATCCGTAGATAATTGAACATATGACGCACATATAAGAAGATTAGATATAAGAAAAGAAAAGATGAGATAAGAAAAGAAATTCATTTACTATAGTGACGTGTTTAAAATCAATGATGTGATACATGTGAAGACCAGTCCAATGGACCTATAAGACACCAAGTCATCTTATATTGGCAAATATTAAAGAGTCTTCATTAGTTTATGACAAATAGTTTGCATTATTACTGTGCAAATGGAATGATAGTTATTGTAAATGTATATTGTATTATTCTATACGAGTTTATATCTTGAGCAATAAATTCAGATCAATATTGGTCTTCCTTTCTCGCGTTACTAGGCAATTTGATTAGTAAAAATGCGGTATTAAATTGACATAATAATGCGTTTTAATTTGACACTTATAGTTTTTGCAATTTATTCAGAATTTCTTGGGGAAAACATAACCCTTGCCCTAGTTTTTACAAGTGAATTCTGAATTTTTGGAGAAAAAAAACCTTTACCCATTCAGGATGAAGCTATAAGCATCGTTTTTATTATATTTTACGACTAATACACCAGCAGAGGGGATGTTAAATAATTATTAAACAATTGTAACCTTCCGCATGAATCTGGTGCAGTCAAAACCAGTCCAGATGAAATATAAGGTGTCCTTTATGTATGGAAACTTCCTGGTGACAATTTTACATGTTCTATAAAAATGATAACTCCCACGTAGGAGATAAAAAACCTTAATTATGAGTTTATAAGTCATACGTTGGACTTTGTAATTCCTAAGTAGGAGATAAAAAAGCCTAATTAGGAGTTTGTATCTCCTACGCAAGAATTTATAACTCCTATGTAGGAGATAAAAAAAGTCTAATTAGGAGTTTATAACTCCTACGTAGGGCTAATAAATTCTTAGAAAGATACTAAGTCGATTTTCTGTGCTATTCTTAGCCGGATTTGAGTGAAACTGGCCAAAACAGGAGGAAGCGTCCTGGTGTCAATTTATATGTTCTATAAAAAAGATAACTCCTATGCAGGAGATAAAAAAAGCCTAATTAGGACTTTATAACTCATACGTAGGACTTTTAAACTCCTACGCAGGACTTTTTAACCCCTACGTAGGACTTTATAATTATAAAGATAAAAAAGCATAATAAGGAGTTTATAACTCCTACGTAGGAGATAAAAAAAAACTAATTAGGACCTTAAAACTCCTACGTACGATACATGTGCTGATGCACAGAGTGCGACAAACATGTATGCTAGAGTTTAACTTAGGATAGTATATTATGTAGGAAAATAAATTATATGTGTCAAATTGTAATTGTGGCAAGCCGCTTTAGTAAATACCCTTATTCTGTAGCCAGAGATGATTTTGAGCGAAATACCAGAACTCAATAATCTGAATTATTTTGAGCAATACATCTAGGCTAAAGATGTCATTCTCTACATATATGAAACGATGATTCTGTAAGTTACATTGATTATACAAAACAATGCATCGGTAAACTTTGTTCAAAGTAGGATATAATTCATCTTTAAACTTATGCATGCATATGCTTTGCAAATCGCAACTTTCCGGAGCTAGAAGAAGACACTTCACTCCTCCACCCCCACCCCTGACACTAAAAGGATTAAATCATTCCAAGCGGCCGAAATTGATAAATTGCTCGTTTTGTTTAAGCTAACTAGGGAAAATGTAATCTTTAAAGCCTTTTAAAATTTTGATATATTCATATTTTAGACACTTAAATGCTTGTTGTCGGGTAAGTTTTTCGAAGAGCTGTGAAGCAAATTTTCAAAATACATCACTAATGGTTACAGACACTTTACCCCAAGACACTTCACACTCCAGAAACCTGAGACACTGTATTGAAAGTGTCCTCAATATTTAAGATTTGAAATTTCGGTGGGGGGGGGGGGGGAGGAATTAAGTGTCAAGTTCCATCGCCGATGTTGAGATTTGCAAAGCATTTTGTATACATTTCCGTAGGAGATACAAACTCCTAATTAGGCTTTTACACATCTTTAGAATAAGTGAACTATGTCATTAATGTATTTTATTGACCTAAGCCCATATACAAAGTTGGTAGGGTATTACAAACGGAGGTCAACTGTAAATTAAATACTTCCTTGTTTTATAAAATAATGAAAAGTGATATTAAAATATTAACAATAATTTAAATTGGTTAGAGATGAGACATCGTGCCTTTCATAGATAATGCCCTGCATGTGTGTCTAAATGTTGAAATACCTCTGCACAGAATAAGGAACTAATTAACTGACCTGCAATTTGGTATTCGCGTTAACCTTGTGCTAGCCCTTGGTTAAGGATTTGTTTGCAAGTGTGTTTCTTCTTAGCCATCAACATTCATTGTTTGACTTCAAATGTGATTTTTGATTCACTGTTCAAGACACATAACCTAAGCATTAATTTGGAAATAATTGTATCCCTTTATCAACTCAAAGAATTTCTCGGGACAAGATTTATCTGCATAACCATTGAGGTAATGCACTTGAAACTAAACGCATCTTTTGAGATCATTAATGTAGATTACTTCCCTCTAACATGTTTTTTTCTTTTTTCAAAGAATTTAATTCTTCATGAATAAGAGAATTCTTTTATTATTCAGGTTGATGATGTTGAATATTTGAGCGTGCTGTCCGAAATGCAGCGCTTGTTTAAAGGCATTGCATAAACGTATGATAATTTACAATTGAATCATATCTGGAGTTTGGTCATTATTGATGACGGATATAATACAAATGTATATACATTAAAATGTAAAATATAATTTGCTAGAACATTTGAAATTTGTAGGTTATTCATTTTACAGTAAGAGACTTTCCTGCTAGACTGGATCTGAATTATAATAAAGTATTTCATACATAGTGAGTGAATTGAAAATATCTATTATGAGAGTTTTATTTTAGCTCGACTATTCGACGATTAAGGAGAACTATCGCAATCACTTACGTTAAAGTTTGCGTACCACCTCAAATATTTTCAAAGTCCATTGACTTACTGTATGGCTTTGAAAATGCACACTTGTTAACCATCATGCCCCTAATCTGAACACTGGAAGAGATAACTCTGTCAAGCATTTTGATGCCCCTTTTTTACTTGAATTTACATTAAAGTCGGCGTACCACCTCATATATTTTCAAATTCCATTGGCATCTGGATTCGAAACTGTATACACTTAATCACCATCATTCCCCCATTCTGTACACAAGACGGGGTAACTCTGTCAAGCAGTTTGACAGAAGTATGCCCCTTATTCGACTTAGATAAAGTTTGCGTTCCACTTCAGATAATTTCAAAATACCATCGTCATATCGCTATGAGACCTTGCACACTTTTTTACCATCATATTATGACATAATATTAACCTGTGTACAGGAGGAGGTCTCTGTATCAAGCTTCTATCTACAGCATTATGCCCCATTTTTTACTATCAAGCACTGAGAATAGTCGAGCACGCTGTCCTACTGGCAGTTCTTGTATATAATTTTGAGCAAATTTATCAATTATTTATTCATTAGAGGAAGATTCATGGGAGGAATTAAGAACAGCATACAGTTGGACGACAATAGCTTAGAATTTCCCCGGCGGGTACTGGATAGTAATACTAGGTGCTAGAGGGTAGGGCGTAGAAGTTACTTGATTTTCCAGTACCGTCCATGAACTGGCTCAATCAAACCGAGCCTGCAACAGCAGGTTTCAAGTGTTTTGTGGCAAGCGTAAATAGTGTACCTAATTTCAGTGTTAGATTAATATGTCCTTCGGGATGGTGGTGGAGGTGTTGGTAGTTTTCACGTCTGATCACTTCAGTAAGGCACATTGAATTTACCAGCCACCGCAACGATCATGGACAGGCTGTGAAGCAAGGAACTGAAACTTCTGTACAGTTCAGTGCGAATGAATGTAGAAAATATTTCTTAATCAGTCACAACGAAAGTGGCATGCGCCGTCCGGGAATCGAACCCGGGTCGCCCGATTCACTGTCCAACGCTCTATCTCATTGTATCTATTGAGCTAACCGGACGGCTTGGTCCTTCAGGATCATTGATTGCAAAACGTTTATAGTTAATGATTGAAAACTACTTAGCTAGCTGGTACTAAGAGGCGTGAGAGATGTTGCAAATTAATTACATTGTCTCTCATGAACAGACCCAATCAAACAGATCAACTTTGCCTTGTTTTTATTTTGGAAGTTGAAAATCACTTGAAAAACACTTACAGCTACCTAGATGATATTATTAAAATGAATAATCTTTATTTTGATCAAATTAGTTCAAATGAAATCTTAAATATATCCAAGTGAACTTAAAATGAATAAAACAAACTCTTCATCTATTTTAGCGTTTAGCATTTTTATCATTAACAATAACACAGTAACTAAAATGTATGAAAAAAAGGAGATGTTTTTGATTTCTAAATAATGTTAACTGTTCACATGTACTTCAGGCATCATCATATGGGGTATATATTTCTAAGTTAATTAGATTTGCCAGGGCCTGCTGTCGTGTGGATGATGTTAATGAATGCAATTTATTTATTACTTCAGCAAGGCTATCGCTATAAATTACGTAAATATTTTACAAAGATTTTTTCATCGTAATTCAGATAAGTTTTAAAATTTAATTATAATTTAAAAACTTTTAAACTACTAGGTATTAGCAAAAAAAAATTGTAAACAAAGTGATCCCTCAAAGCCTGATTTCTGTGAAGATGACAGTTTATCTGTGATATGCATTGATCCCTTTTCAAAATTCCATTTTATTTTAGTTTTGCGCATTGTTTTCTAGTTTAGGACACACGCATTCTTTTACTGGGGGACCATACGCCGCTTTTCACGGAATGGCACTTACGTGTCAAATTGAAGCAGAAGCATGAAAACCGCTGTATGAACACATCTTCTCAATGTTTCGAAATTCAAAATTTCACCATAACCATGATTGATTAAATGTTGAATTCTGCTTAAGCCGGTACTAGAGGGCGTGGACGGTAGTTTTGCACTTTCCAGTGACCTAGTTATTCATCGTAGATGACCTATGTTTGAACTCATGCAAGTTATCACCTAGACAAGCATCCTGACCAAGTTTGATGATGATTGAGGCAAAAATATGACTGCTTGAGTGTTAACAAGGTTTTTCTATTTTTAGCTCCTGTGACCTAGTTTTTCATCCGAGATGACCCATGTTCGAACTCATCCGAGCCATTATCTAGATAAGCATGCTGACCAAGTTTGATGAAGATTGAGGCAAAAATGTGACCGCTAGAGTGTTAACAAGGTTTTTCTATTTTAGCTCCTGTGACCTTGTTTTTCATCCGAGATGACCCATGTTCGACCTCATTTAAGCTATCAATTAGATAAGCATCCTAACCAAGTTTGATGATGATTGAGGCAAAAATGTGAAAGCTAGAGTGTTAACAAGCTTTTTCTTTTTTTAGATCTGGTGACCTAGTTTTTCATCTAGTCTATTGTAACCAATCCACGTATATCCAGGCACTGTTTATCAATGTGCGTTTCACAAAATGAAATAACGTCTCTTTGTACATAATTTATTATACTCATTCTAATATCATTTTTATCTTTTGTCCATCCACAGACGTTAATGTGAGCAAGCCTAATTGCACATGGCCGGGATATATCCTAAAATTCAGGGTTAGTATTTTGGTCACGTGAATTTTCGGCACGTGCGTCGTTATCTCCTAGCAATCTGTCGTTTTCATGCTGATTTGATGCGTCCTCTATTATCGACAAGTAACGAGCGTTCCTGAGGCAGATTATGAATGGTTGCTCTTGCATTCATTTTAGTTAGCCTTTTGATATGTGACTAACTACTTCGTACTTGAACATGTTTGTATTCAGCACTGAACGTAGTTTGGGCTGATTTCTCAACAGCAGGACTTTTTGCTCTAGAGTTTCCACACTAAATTTCAATATCGGTGTTCTATCGTGAAATATTGCCGGTTAGTCGAATTTCATGCGTTACAATGACTTTTGATTTGACCTCTTCGCCCAATAAGTTCACTTGCTCCTGTGCTTTCTGAATTAAGTCCTCTAACTCTGTGACTTGGATTCCACTAGCCGTGCATGTTCGATTTTGGTCACTGATTGAATTACCTTGACCAAACGAGGTACCGTTATCGCTTGCATGCACAGAAGCTCTTTTCTACTCAAAAGCAACCATTCTTTTTTCAACTGATCAGCTTTTGTTAACATCTCGTAAATGCGCATTTATTCTCGAGTGATATCAATTTTGAGCTCATTTTTTTCAAAGTGTCCACCTTCGAATTAATTATACTCATTAGTTCCGATTTTAAATTGTCAAACTTTGTTTCAAACGATATGCACCTAATTTTAATTCCCTCACAGTATAAGATAGAAAAGTCAATTGCTCTTTTTCTGACATTGCGCCGTTACCTTGATCTGTAGTCGCCATATTTTATCTCAAATCTTGTGAGGTCTCATGTGGGGGCTTTGATGTCTTGGCAGTATTGTGAAAATGTGTATTTTTTCTATTGTTTCTAGAAATGGATGGGGATTCGAACACAGACTTTGATAAATTTATTGAATCATCATACGGAAATAATACAGAATTTGTGACTCCAAGAATCTCACTTACTGCTACATTGTTCACCTGTGGCGAACCTCTATGTTTGAATTGCTTGTTTATCAGTGATATTTGATCAGTCTCACTGCTTTTTTCCTTTTTTTTATTACCTCGCCCTATGTGAAAAAAGTTCCAGTACTATATCCAGATGTATTTACTTAATCTCATTTGTGCTTTAAATCCTACATTTTTTCTTTGTTAAATCCAAAAATAAACCAAAATTAATGATTTTTTACCTCTGAGAAAATTACACAGCCATTTTAAATTGATCACGTGATATTATGTATAAGTTCACAAGGCAATGCTACATATCCAATATTTAAGCTCAAGGCATTAAGTTTCATACAATAAGTCTTGGACATGTTATTCACTATGCAGGTTAATATAAATCATGACCCCATCCCCTTGGGGCGTGGAACATTTTGACCAAAGGTACATGTACATTTTGTAGTGGTCAACAAGGCAATACCAAATCTAAATAGTTAAGCTTTAGACATTTGAGTTTGGGAAAATAAAGCTTAAATGCGTTTTTCTTATGTAAGGTAAGTGATTCCCTTTACCAACATATGCAACAGACCGGAACCATTTGAACAACTTGACCACCGAAGGGTCATTCCTGTAAAGTCTGATTAATGTGCAGTCATTGGTTTCAGAGAAGGAGAAAAGGAGTTTAAACATCCAAGAGGTTCAGCAGCTGGAGTGCGGTGTAATAATTGAGCCGCCTTATTGATTTAAAATGTATTATTTTGACGAAATGATTAACATTAAAACATTTTAAGAAATTCGTATGAGCTTTTATGTTTGTTACTGTTACATTATATGAAATTATGAAATATATGTCATTTCTATTTTTGTAAAAGAAATGAAGATACATAGTGGAATGTGAAAAGTTAAAAGTGACTGTGAATCGTAAGAAAACGCACCATAAACTGTCTAAAATAATAATGAAAACTGGGGAAGGTGTTAAAATGAAAATCAATAATAATCTTCTTTTCTTATCAATAAATAAACCCCGGTGTGATCCTTGTTAGAAACAGAAACTATTCGTTATCAACATTTTATAGGTACTTGTTAATATGTTATTTATATGAGTGACAGCAGTCGCAGTTTGAAATGGTCTTACTTAATTGACATGTAATTTTGTTTTTTATATTCAGGTAGGAGAAAATGGCCGCAAAGACATTAAACATAACATCAAAAACGTTTGCTGAAAGTGACAATTTTGAATCAATTGTTAGTACCCTTACTGACTGCGAGTTTAACTCTGCTTCTGTAAAAAAATCCTAAGACAATTGAGTTATTTGGCAGTACAACAGAAACTGATTCATCTAGCTGTTATATAGCTTCTTCACCACACGATGACAACTGTTTGGTTGATAAATTTTACGAAGACTTACAAGCGTCAGAGACTGATTCCGACTCTGACGATGATCAAAATATCGATGTAGATGACGACGATATAGGCGCTGTATTTGAAGAAACTAGAGAAATATACAAACATGAGCTATCTCAAACCCTTCCTGATTACACGAAACCTGTATCAAAGGACGTTGGTGTCCAAGATATTGAAGCAGCCATTGATAAAATACCACAGACAGATAATAATGAAGATCAAAGTAAAGACAAAAGCTGCGCAAATTGTTGCACTAAGAAAAGAGTTGAAAATGCATGTTTCTTTAAAAAAGGTCAACACATAAGACTTCCCGGACAATATTTCACCTTCAATTTTGGGAAAAAACTTCGAAAACTTTACAATCACCATGCAATTGTAAAACAAATCAACAAAGCAGATGATCAAAAAGTAGAGTTGGTTTTAATTCATTTTACCAAAGTTGGCAAGGACATAAATATCCATGAAACGTCAAAGACATACGATCTTGCACACGATGAAATATACATTGTTGAATACTTACACCCTCGGTATGAAGCAGACGACATAGTGAAAAGAGCAGAATCGATGTTGCCGAAAAATTGGGAAAATTCCGACAAACGTCGTTATAGAAAATTTAGATCATACAATGTATTTACTCGTAATTGCGAGCATTTCGCTTCATGGTGTGTGGTCGGTGCAAAAGAAAGCTTTCAGGTTAAAAGTCTTCGAAAAACTATCGCTAAGATCTTAAGCAAAGGCGCAGGTGTTGGATGCAAAATAGCTCGCTTTATAATGAGGTTTTTATATAACTCGGCAGATGAAATTGCATCAACGTTTAATATGAATTTTCTACCAGGCATTGTTCTTGGATTTACTGCTTTGGTGTACCTCATTTACTGTATAGTCATCACGATAAAACTGTTATCAAAATATAAAAGATGTAAACTTTGCAAAACATGTTTCAAAAGAGAAGTCGTCACGTTATGGACACATTTCGGTGCCTTCATTGCAACATCAGGGATATCTTATATTCTTGTCCATTTTCTATTGCCAATGATCAAACCAACAATTGCTGTAATCCCTGTGTTACTCGTTATTGTATTGCTTTCCTTGGCAGTGCAGTGGGGCATAGGAAAAGTAAGGAGAACGTTGATGTCTCCATATGAATGTGAGAAGGTTCCAGTGCTAACATTATCAGACTTGAATGTAGGAAGTATGATCACATTCACCTATTTTGGTTTCCAACATTTTGCCATAGTAACAGAAGTCCATGAGGAAACTGATGACTCCACTATCGGGACAATAAAATTTGTACATTATGGTTTAAAAAGTCTGAATATATTTCGCAAAAGGCATGTTATGGAGGAGTTAATTCGTGTTGATCTGAATAAAGCGTCAAAAAAGCTAAAGATGGTGGATTGTAAACATTTGAACAGTTACCCAAGCCATCAGGTGGTGCAAAGAGTAAAACAAAGAGTCGGGGAGACAAACTGGAATGCAGTGTCAAATAGATCTGATCATCTATGTTTCTGGGCTTTGGTTAAACAAGAAAAGGAGCTTGAAAATAGCAACACAAATGCAGAAAACACAGAAAACATAGGAGAAACAAAAACGAAACATAAAAGTTCACTTTGTACTGGACAGACGGAAGTACATGTAAGGGAAGAGGTGAGACTTGGGGATGTAGTAAAGTATGGTGGGGTAAATGGCATCGTAGTTAATTTGGACGACATAACGCAATGCGATGCGCAAGAGTTCGAAATGGAGTTGATGGTCTACAGAAACTATTATGTTATCCGTGAAAAGAAAACGATAAACCTAAGACAGAAACGGTTGTCGGTTAAGAACTACCATCCGGCACACTGCTGCTCTATGAGTGATCGTGTACAGCGTGCTTGTGAAAAAGAGAATACAAAGTGCAACTATTGGCTTGAAGAAAGCTTTTTTGAAAGCTGTATTCTGAAAAACATTTGATTTGAAAGAAACAAACATTTGCCTATCTATTTTGTACACTTTACCATGTTTTCGTCATGATAAATGCCAACTATTACGCGTGTTTTCTAAAAAACGAACACATTATAAGGAAGTCATTTTTGTACCTTGTATGTTGTGTCTTTTGTGTACAATATTACATGTAGGGATGTGGCACGAACTCTGCTTCATTTGCATGGTATGTAATTCGAAAAAAAAAAACAATTACCAGTTGTGGTTTAAAAAAGCAAATGAATAATAAATATATATTTTAGGTTTGTGAAAAAATGTTTGTATCTACAAAATACCTTTCAAAAGCACTGAATCCAAAGAAGGATACAATAACGTAGATAAAAAAACAACAATAAGTTGGGAGAAAATAAATTTTCATACAGTGCTAAAGTATAAATACCCAAGTACTTACGGGCGTATTAATCCTTTTAAACGGGGGTGTATTACATTATAATGGCACACAAAAAAAACCTTATTTAAAGGTGGAAAACAGTACAACCGAGGAAAATACCATCCATTTTGCGGGGTTTTCGGGGAATATTATTGAAACAAAAATGGGTGCTAGAATTTTTTAAACATTTAAATTTTTAATATGAATATCAATAAATGTTGGTCGCCCCAATGCCCAAAAACGAGGGGTTTTTTTACCCCTTGAAAGGCTCATTTTTTTGTTAAAATCTATCGCATACGGGGTAGGGGCAAGGGACCCCTTAAAATCATGGAAAAGTTTTAAAAAACCCAGTGATATGAAAGATTGGACAAAACAACGGAATTTTGCAATGTACAATGCTCGATTGTTGGCAAAGAACAATAAGAACGAAAGTTGCTGGACATTTGATGGGATTATCAATGTCAAAGATAAGAATCAAAAGGTGCACCGAATAACCAATAGTTACGACGTAGTAAAATTTGATCGCTGATTTTAACACTGATTGAAGACAGTACAAGTGTGTCATAATTTCTAATACTATCTAAAAAAATCTTAATATAAATCAAATGATCATTATTGATCTACCATAATCTATTATTAAGGTGCTGTCACAATACCATTAAATATCTAACAAAGACCTGTTTTTAAACAGGCGCTTATTTATCTGCATAAACGTCTTTGAACATGTATTTGATTTTTTTTAACTTTGTGCTATGCTTTTAAATAAGTATGATTTTCACAGATTTTATATAAATATTGGATAAAATCCAATACCGCATACATACGGTGTTCCCCGTTACATCTAAATAATGACTAAATAAATGTAATGTAGAATATATAGAGGATATTCAAGTTTTTTCTATAAATACATGATTTATTTTCATCGAGTGGTATGAAAATAAATATTTCATGAGTGGCGCTAGCCACGAGTGAAATATGGTAATTTTCATGCCACAAGATGAAAATAAATCGTGTATTTATAGAAAAAACTTGAATTTTCTGTTTATTATATACATTTTTCTCTTTTTTGACATTAAAATTTGAAAGACTTTCCCTTAAATTTTTTGTACTGGCAGAATTTAAAAGAAAGTAGTCCGGCAAGACACCAGTGAAAATACGGAAAATATGTTTCATTGCCGGAAAAAAAAATTTTTTCCCAGGGGAAAAAAGGAAAAAAAAAATGCATTTTTTTTCACAATATTTCTCAATTTTTTAAATTTATAAGTATTTTAAAAAAATGACATAAATTAGGGAGGGTTTTAAAACCCACGGGAAATGTCTGCTATTTTTGGAAATGTTTTTTTGATTTAAAAAACCAGCGTGCAAGTTTGAACTTTTTGTAAAGTTTTTTATGTAATGCTTTTGGGCATTTCATTAATAAACGCTATCCAAATGTTGATGGTACTGAAAAACGCAATATAAATGGTATGTTTTTTTTAATGGGGTAGTATGTTTATGATAGTGTAAAATTATCTAAGTTCCCCGAGGGTTTTTATGTTATATCACATTGATACGTTTAAAAGGGGTAGATGAAGAAATGATACTTTTGATATGTTGTCTTTTTATATTTACATGCCCGTTCTACACTATTTAAAACCCTTTGCTGTCAACAATTTATTAATATTATTTCTCTTTTTTTTTTCTTTGTTCAACAACATCCTTAAAAAAATATTCTTGTTTACATTACTTTACGGCCCAATTATATTTGCACGTGACGCTTTCTTTTTGTATCTATGTTATCATAAACTAGTTTGAGAGACTATTATTGATTTTCTATCTCGTTTTTTGGAATCAATTTTGCATGAATGTGTGTGTAACTCATACCTTTTTCTGTTCTTGTAAGCAAATGTATTTCACTATTTCACATATATCATTAATAATGGTGCAAAGACCATTAATTTGACATGTTTATGACTTGTTCTTCTTGTTATATGGCCCATCATAATGACATGTTTATGGTATTTTCATACATGAAATTTTTTAAATGGCTCGAGTTGTATGTTGATAGTATTACAAAATGAAAAATGGAAAAACTGTTGTGGTATGTTTGCAAAACATATAAAACACTGTAAATGGCTTTGGTAACATATTATAATCCATTATTATGGTATTTACGTAGCATGGGTATGATAATAGTTTTGAGTAGCCATATATAACATGCTAATGTATTACAGGGGCCCCTTTAAAAAGGTTAAAAAAATTATTATATGATTTTAAATATAGCGGGCAACCCAGGGGGCCCAAACAGGGGTTTAAACCCAGAATTTTTTAAAAACCCATATTATCGGGGTAATATCATTTCACTGGCTTAATTGGGTTTTCCACGCCCTGAAAAAAAAGATTTGAGCCACATTCAATACCGTAAAATCGTACGTGGGGCTTTAATTAAGTGTGTTTTTTAAAATAAAAAGGGATAATTTTTTGCGTTTTTTTTTATAGGGGTATATTTTTCGATTAAAAATTCTTTACTTTACCATTATGGGAAAAATTTAAAACGAAATGATGATTTTTAAACCCTTTATTATTTTTGGGAAATGCGGAATTTCGCGTAGTTTTTGGACCCCTTACACGTGCTTTTTTTCTCCCACGGTTTAACAAAAAGGGCAAAAGTTGTACATGTATAAGGTTGTACTTTTTATGTGTGTTTTTTTTTAATTCTTATTGTCTATTTATATAATAAAACAATTATTGACTAGTGCAATCTATCCCCTCGGTCAATATCATATCCAATGGCACACTAGTCAATAATTGTATAGTAACATTTAAATGGCCTGATGATAATTCTGTGTGTCTTGAATGACTTGCAAATGGTACTGCGTTATATGTATAACACGATGATGGTTGTGTACAAAGTTATATTAATGGTATGTTTATATTATTGTGTATGTATGATATGATATTGATGTTGTATTTATTACTACAAGTCATATGGAAGCATTTTGCATTTTTTGTCATAACAAAAATTAATATATGTAGCTGTATATTCTGAATTTTGTCTCTGTTGATTGGGAAAATAACGGCTAGTGAAGGTGGCTTACAAATACTCCCTCTAGCCTATATAAAATCTGTGTAAAGTTGTTTTATATTTTAAAGGTGTATTATTTAAGAATGTAAAACAATGACTTGTGCTCTTTTGATTAAATGAATTAGAGTATAAACAACGTTGTAATGCTAATAAACCTCCTCAATAAGAAAATGTCCAATTTATTACGATCACCTCTCCAGCAGAAAACTAAACATATATTATTTTTTGTCATTTATATACAAAATTAAGTCTTGTCTGCAACGTGGTGTTTGTAGCTCAATAGAAGGGAATGGATCATATGGAATTCCTATTCATATTTAACTCGTAGTTATAAGTCAGTATATTATTTCTAAGTTAGTAATATTTATTCATCTTATATTTATTTCAAATTGTGCAGAATATTTGGGCCCTATGAATCAGATCTTTGCAGCAAACCATACTCAACTTCCTTTTTTTGGATCGTAAAAAAAGTATATTTGCAAAATATAAAAGTTATTTCTACTGTCATTTTTTATTGAGTATAGAAATAAATTGCATACTTCTGCAAACAATCAAGTATATTCTTTAGTATACGTAGTCTCATCTATACATATAAAACAAAGATGAATAACAATGTAAAGCGATATAAGAAACTTCTTTTATTTTCGCCAACTTTAAATAAGACAATACATGTAATTATTTTCTTGAACATTAACATAATACGAATTTAAAAATATTTTTCAGGGACCTAAATGATCGCGCGATACTAAAGTTTAGCTGTAAATACGACAACTTATTTGTACACTAAAATATTCAAGATGTTGTATTTGTACTATCGTTCTACAGATCATTTTAAAGCAACATTTCCCTTGATTATATCTCCTGTTATGATGAAATAAAATAACAATGAAAAAACTTGTTGAAACAAGGAAATAAAACCCATCTTGATTACAAAAGAACTATTTAAGTCAGTGTACACGTTAGACTTCTAGCAATTTCTCTCACATTCAATATATGTACTTGATGGTATTTTCATGACTTTAGATAATGACAATAGTAGAACAGTTAAATGTCATTTTACAATTAAATGTATATTTGCCTTATCTACAATGTCTGTGTGGAGTTTTCGTTTGCTAGTAGTGGGGATATGTCTTAAGAATACTGTTTTGCATTTTTTGTAAGCGAGAATAATTGCGAGCAAATGTTTGACCTGCATGATGACTAGCAGAATCAGGTTGACCTTTTTCTTTGAGTGAGACATTCCTTTTATGATTAATGCAGTTTTTATATTGTATCAAAACATTTTCCAAATTATTTACTGGTCAACCAACAAAAGTTATAATAGCCAATCAAACTCGACTTAACAAGAACAAGTTGAGCATCATGTCACTTTAATGTCGGTACAATTTCTAACTGTATAACTTCACGTTAACGTTCCCCTTCACTCACTCATATATTCCAATTCTGTTCTTTAGAAGACAAAAAATAAATGAATGAAATAAAAGAATACCAAAAGTGACACTTCGTTACAAATAGCTCAAAATAGACCTTTTCACAGTATGATTTTTCCCATAGTTACGAATGTTACGTTTTGCACATGTGCATAGTGCGTAGGGTAAAACGGATATATGAAAAGAACACAATTTATCATAAAAAGGGTTTAATAGCCGTGTATTTAAGTTTTTTTTCTCCAGAAAACAGTTAGTTTGGGATGACTTAAAGCGGGTGAGGACTAAAAACCTGAATTAATGTTTATAAGAGTTATATGGAAATATGCGGGGCTAATATAATTTAATGATCTAAAAGCGCATACTTAAGTTTTCTGTTTAAAGTATCATTTGACGACTTTTGCACCAGTAATTTAAATTGAAAAAGCAGGGTGTTAAGGATAAAGAAATTTGAACATCAGGTTTAAATAAGCCGAGTTTTCTTTAAAGTGTTAACGGTAATTTATCTTTAAAAAAAAGACCAAAT